TCATTGATGAAACTTATTCACCAATGAATCCACTTCCATTACCTTTTTCACTGATTTTCTTCCTTTACTGTTACTCTAATCTGATCTCTAGAGAGGAAGGAGGTAATAAATATGGGAGGTCAACTTGTGTCACAGTCTCGGTATCACTTTAAAGTGAAGATGTTGCAATCCATCTCACTCCATGAAACCCAAGATTGTAAGGTAATCAGAAGACCAGGGAAGAATCTTGATGTTTATGACAAGCTAACCCAACCTTGAGGGCAAGCAGAGAGGTCAGCCTATCTTCTTCTAGAACAAAGTGCCATTAGATTTGATGTTCCATGTCAGTCTACGTGGCACCATCTTTTCTGGTCTTCCTTTTCCTATCTTGGGGATGCAAGTCCTCCTCTATTTTCTGGCGAGATACTATTGCTCAAGAAACATTGCCCCATACTTGCTGTTCCCTGTGCATCAGTGAGAGTTGAGGAGAAGCCACAAATCAGCCCTCAGGGAACACATGTGTGCACCAACTCATTCCTACTGTAGACTGGGAAGCAAAAGATATTCCAAGCTAGTTTTTTTGGATGTGCCTTTTTATCAAAGAAGCTTCAAGAACTTCTCTGAGTGTGTTCCAAATGGGGACTATAGAAGGTCCCAGAGCACACTGCTGTGACTGCTCAGGATTTCCTGTCCTGTACCTCTTTTGATTGCTCTAGGAAAGCCAAGCTGCTGCCCCTCTTCACAGAAGCCCCACCAGTGAGCTTGCCTGTGCCATGGCCTCCTCAGTTCATTCCTTTGGTACCACTGTAGCAAACACCAGCCACGTGACTGCTGACGTGGTGGTACATCCAAGGCAGGCAGGCCAAAAGGGCCTGCTCTGTCTTTCAGGAGCTCTGTGGTGGCCTTATCACAGGAATGACTGCAAAGGTCCCATTGCTGGTAAATGAACTTCCTTGTAAACTTGCTGCTTAAAGGAGACAAGGCAAAATCTTCTGTAATTTAAATGACTAGCTTTAGAGATAGATTTGTGTCTGGGGCATTTGTTTGTTTCATTTGGACTTCTAAGATCTTTCCAGGACATTTGTAACCCAGACTTGCTGACTGATCTCCATGCCAGTGATAGCGATGAAGCAGTCTCTGTTAGGAGGAATTCTGTCCTAGAGACTGGTTTTCGTCTCTGCAGACTGATAGGAACTTGATTCCACAAACTCCATTGGCACTGGTGGGAAGAGAGACTCTGGGTTTGGCTTTGTACTTCCAGAGATTTCTCTAGGCAGCCATTTCTCAAAGTTTTGTTCCACAGAGAAATATGAAGTGTGAATTATTGTGAGGGAAAGAGTGGTCCCCCTTTAGATATGATACCTGTCCTGGAGGTTATTGCCCAAGACGGGCTGCAGCACTGTGTTCTCCAGACTTTTTTTATTAACACCTGTTTGCAGTACATAATGATTACATTTATCATGGGGAGTTGTTGCATATCAGATCTTAATTCTTTTTTCATCCCCTACCCAGGCCTTCCATCTCTCAGTTTTCTTCTCATTTGCAAAAGCTCTATTTCCATTTTTTCCTCTCAATTCTTTTTTCATCCCATTTGTCTTCCTTCCTTCCCTCATTCTCTGTCCATCTCTTTCCCCCCTGTCACTTGAAAAATATCTCCCTACTTCCTATTTTATTTTGCTCTTAATTTATTTTTTGGTTTCTCATGTAAGAGAAACAATGCAATATAATATTTAAAATTGTGTGTCTGACTTCTTTCACTTAACTTTATGGTCTTAAGATGCATCAAGTTTGTTCTTCTTCATGGCAGAGTAGTATTCCACTATGTATATATTGCATTTTCTTTCTGAATTCATCTGTTGATGGGCATATAGGCTTTTCCCAAGATTTAGCTATTATGAATTGTGCTGCTATAAACACGGGTACACATGTATCACTGAAATGTGATTTTAACTCTTTTAGGAAGATATCTAGGAGGTAATAGCTAGCTCAAATGAAATTTCTAGTTTTAGTTTTTTGAGCAATCTTCAAACTAATTTCCATAATGGTTGTACTAGTTTACATTCTCACCAACAGTGAAGAAGGGTTCCTTTTCCTTGCAGCCTTGCCAGCATCTATTCTTATTTGATTTCTTGATGACAGTCATTCTTTCTTGGGTAAGATAAAATTTCAGTGCTATTTGAATTTGCATTTTTCTAATGGCCAGCAATATTGAACATTTTCTGATGTATTTACTGGCCATTTGAACTTTTTCTCCTGGGAGTGTCCATCATTTGAGTTGCCTGTTTTTGATTGGGGCTTTTATTTTGGAGGATCTGGTTTTTTTGGCCTGCCTGCCTGCCTTTTTTTTCTTTATGTATTGCAGATGTTAGTTCTCTGTCGTAGTGTAGCTGGCAAAAGTTTTCTGTAGGTTGTTCTTCCTCTTTGTTGGTTGTTTTCTTTGTGTTCTTGTACACAAGTAATTAACTCACTGAGAAAGAAATTAGGAAAACAATGCCATTCACAGTAGTATCAAGAACAATTAAATCCTTAGGATTTCACCTAACCAAGGAAGTGAAAAATCTCTGTAATGAAAATTATATCACTTTAGGAAAGGAGATCAAGGGAGATACCAGAAAATGGAAAGATGTCTCATCTTCCTGATGCAGAACCAATATAGTAAAAGCATGACTATCTCTATTATCTATCTATCTATCTATCTATCTATCTATCTATCTATTCCAGTCAAAATACCAGCAGCATTCCTCACAGATGTAGGAAAACATTCTAAGATTCACATGCAACTAGAAGAGACTCGCAATAGCAAAAGCAACTCTGAGTAGCAAAAGCAAAACAGGTGGCATCACAAACCCAGATCTGAAATTGTATCACGAAATTACTATGATAAAAATAGCACCATACTAGCACACAAACAGATAGACTTGTGGATCAGTAAAGGAAGCAGAAACAACCCCAGGTATGTTCAGCTGTCTGGTTTTTGACAAAGGGGCTAAAAACACATACTGGAGAGAAGACTCTCTCTTTAACAAATGGTGCTGGGAAAATTGAATATCCACATGCAGAAGATTTTGAGTCTAGACTCATATATCCCACCATGTATTAAAATAAAAAAATGGATTACGTCTGAATGTAAACAGAAACACTTAATCTATTGGAGATAAAATAGGTAAAACTCTTGAAGACATGGGCATAGGCAGAGACTTTCTAAACAGAGCCCCAGCAGCACAGAAAATAGTACTGAGAATCAACAAGTGAGATTACACCAAATTTAAAACCTTCCGCAGAGCTAAGTTTCTTTTTACCAGGACTCACTCTTTCTCTCTCCTTTTCTTTCTCTCTTTCTTCTTGGGGTCTTTCTTTCTTTTGCAGGAGGGGATTGAACACAGGCTCTTTGCACTGCGCTATATCCCCAGTCTTTCTTATTTTTTATTTTGAAACAAGGTCTTTGTAAGTTGCTAAAATGCCCAGGCCAGGCTTGAACTTGCAGTTCTCCCACTTCAGGCTCCCAGAGTGCTGGGACGGTTATGTGTGCCACTGGGCCTGCCTTTGTGTGTTTGTTGTTTAGTAATCACTGTAGCTGAAATAGACCAGTGCTATTTTGAGCATGCGTTAGGTAAGTGACGGTGAACCTCTTAGGACTGAGTGCCCAAACTGCAGCCAAAACCCCGCTTATTTATTGCAAAGTGCCACCACTGCAATTAAATCTGAATCCTGAGGTTTTGGTTTAGAACAAACAACTCTCATCTGGTGCTCAGCTACTGGAGCAACTTGGCTCACGTGCCTGCAGAGAGGGGTCTGGGTGCCCACTGAGATCTGTGCTCCATAGATTCATACTGCTGCCCTCAGTCATTCCACCCAGAAATGGGTGTGGACCCCTCTGTGGGCTGCTTAAGTGCAGCTTTCCTAACAGAGGGTAGGGATGGAGAAAGAGGGCTTGGGCTAATCTACATTCATATAGCAAGCACATTTTACTGGTGATCTGTGGCTTAAAATAGCAAAACCACTGAGTGGTGCTTTTGGACATCAAGTTTCCAGGTCAGAGTGTGTTCTTTTACTCAGAATGGAGGTCTCTGTGAAGGACATATCCCTCACCCACCCCCAGATCTCACAGGTTATGGTGAAACCCTCCTCAGGAGACCCTGTGCCTGGACATTTTTCTCTGTGGACCTTGATTTTTTCTGATGAGAAGTTGGATGAAAAGAATAAGTCAGGCTGCACTTTGGTGTCATCCGAACTCAGGTCCCTTATGTCTCACCTCAGCAATGACCTGAGCATCTCTGCTTGTCTGCTTTGTTATGATGCTTCTATGAAACTTCATTTAAAACAGAGGTTTCGGAGGTCAAAACATTTAGAAAGCACAGGAAATGTGAGTCTTGTTGTCCTACAGGGCCCTGCAGACTCAGTTTAGAAACTGGGTCTTGGTACCTACAGAGTCATACTGGGGGACCACAGGGTCACTGGTAAGTGTTCCCTTAGGCTTTGCTGTGAACATGACCTGAGGCGTGGAGATGGCAAGTAGCCCAGGCTGTTGTCTCTCAGTTCTATTTGAGTTTAAGTGACTAGTGGCTCAAGGCCCTGTTGGGGAGGAGCTGCAGACTCACCCTCAGGTAGCCCAAACTTGTATTTCACATTGGCAAAATAGCATTTTTAATTTTCAGAAGCATCAAAGTTTTCCTCATGGCAAAAGTTAAATGTTGGTTTCAGTGTTGTCTGTTTCTTCCCATTTTGGCCTGGCTCTCTATTATGAATTAGACGTATATGTGGTGAGTTGGACTTCATCTCCTCAGTGCTTGGGACCCTAAAGTCCCCCTCTGGGCTCCAGCTGATAGATATATTACCTAAAGGCCACTTTTCTTCCAGCCTTTAACTTCAGCTACATGAACTCCTGCCTACATGAACGCCTGCCTACCCTGCAGATTCTTAAAATATTTACCCATCATCAGTCTCTCAGAGAGGAATGTTCTACACTGTTATGATGTCAAAGGGGCACCAAGGAGAAGGGCCAGGGCCAAAATGAGCCTGTCACTCAGCCCGTGGCTGAGTGGGAGATAAGCCAGGCAAAGGCACAGAGAAGACCCAGCCCTCAAGCTCCCCGCACCATCCTGGTAGTAAGTGCAGGCTGGAGCTGCAGGGTGAGACTGTTAGCCATCAAGGACAATGATCTTGCATTCGCTGCCTAAGTGAAAGCTGAAGGTCTGTGGTGTTTCCATTTCCTTGTCCTTGTCCTTGTCCTTGTCAAGCCTGGGTCACGATGTCAGGAGCCTCCAAGGAAAATCTGGGCCCCCAGGGCCTGCCAGTGTTGGGCAAGGCCTGCCTCACTGCCATGGACAGCAAGCTTAATGTGCTAAATGAGAAGGTGGACAGACTCTTGCATTTCCAGGAAGATGTCACGGAGAAACTTCACTGCGTGTGCCAGGGCATGGGCAGCCTGCAGCAAGGCCTTCAGCGGCTGGAGGCCTCCCGAGGGCTTGGCCTGGCAGGTGTTGACTGTGCGTCTGCAGCTGATGCTCAGGCTGGGTGGCCTGAGGTCCTGAAGGTGATGAGGGCTGTACAGCAGGACGGTGCCCAGCACGGTGCCAGGCTTGAAGCCCTCTTCAGGATGGTGGTGGCTGTGGACAAGGCCATTGCTCTAGTGAGGGCTGTGCTACAGAGCTCGAAGCTGGTGGATTTCATCATGCAAGGGAGGAAAGGCAGCCTGGCTGATGTCCCTGAGGAGGTTGGTTCTGTTTATCCTGACCTGGCTAGAAGGGAGGCTCAGGTGCCTGGGGTGGCGGCTGGAAGTTCTGGCCAGGCAGACTGTCTTAGAAGAGCTGAAGTGATGCTATCCCTTTCTTGTGTTCCTGTGTGTCCTACTTATGGAGAAAAGGAGAGATTGAACCTTAGAGGTCACAGGTGGATTTCTAGTCTGCTGTCTGCTTTTTTTCCCAGGGAAAAGAAGAGGCAGCATGCTAGCCAGGACAGGGCCTGGGGCGGCCACGATGGGCACAGTGATGGTTAAGGGGAGGAGCACATTAACCTTCTTTAACTTCTTTAGGGCTTCTCTTGCTCTCAGAGATCCTTCCTGCTCTTTCACACCTGGGGGAGGAGACAGGTGGGAATGGTCAGTTTCCCCTGACAGAACCCCTGAGCAGAAACACAATCCCCTCTTCCTGTCCCTAGCCTTGTGCTTTGTCCCCCAGAGTGGGCAGAGTGCACAGCTGACTGTGTGTGGGGGGGATGAGTGTTGACAGTGACCCATGGGGGACAACAAAGGCAGGAGCCAGAGCCTGAGGGTGGAGGATGGCATTTCTGGAAGGGGCTGTTTCCAAGGGTTGCATAATCAAACCTGCTGGGGGGGGGGGAAGATGGGGGTTAAGTATGTAGAGGAAACACCCTGTTTGGGAACAGCTGAGGGTCAGCCACTTAGCAACACTTAGCTGGCCTAAAGTAACTGTTTGAGATCCCTGCATTACTTTCTAGCCTCTGGCAAGGGATGAGGTCTAACATTCTCTGTGTCAGCTTCTGAGACTGTCACAGGAGGGGCCCTTTCCCAGTCCAGCCAGGCCAGACCTCCCGCTGGTCACCTGCAGGACCCTCTCTCTTCCCCTTCCTGCCCTGCAGCAGCCCCCAAAGGAGTCCCCACCCCAGTTGCCTGTCCTGCTGGGAGAAGTGACTTCTGCAATGGTTGTTCCTGATAATTAGCCTCAACTTTAATAAATAAAACTAATCTAATAAATCCAATTCCTAGCTTTAAAATAAATTCAAATTAATAACACATAAGGAAAAAATACTCATGACATGGAATGCCATGGGTTTAGTTTTCTCAGACAAAACAAAACCTAAGAAAAACTTCCATGTGGAATGAAAAGTGTGCACCTGCCTCTGGGTCCCCCTCCCCCCCGCCCCGTCCCCAGGACAACTCCTCTTTTTCCTACAAGCAACTATAGGTACTGGATTTTTCTGAATTCTTTCAGATGTAGACTCTGCATCTGTAAGCACATTGGTGTAACTATTCCCCTCACTGTTTTGTTTTCACCCCAGATATTCTTGCTGATTTAGATTTTTTAAAAAAATTTACTTAATGTCTTTGAGGCATTGTTTTATATTTATGCCTAAAAAATTTCCTTTTCTTCTTAAAGTTGCAGAGTACAACATCTTGAGGTTTTAAACTTTTGAATTATGTCCAGTCTTTTAGTACATACACTGGTAGCTATCTACAGGTGTAAACAATCCAATCTCCAAACAAGATGTCAGCTTCTCATTGGGCTGGGATGTGAAATCCCTACTTCCCTGGCTGGCTTCAAAGGAAGTGTTCAGAGGACCGACAGTGAATGAGACCGAAGCACAGCTATTTGACACATTCTCAGTGCTGAAAACTGAGTTATGGAGGCATTCTGGAGACCTTCTTTGTGTCTTCTAAGAGAACAGGGGTACAGTTAGTTACCTGTGGAATTGAATTAAATCCTAGTCCTGCTGTTAAATTTGAAAATTATGCCTTCACTTTGAGAAGGTCATGTTTGAATCTTTGAAGTGCTCAGCAACACTTTGCTCGGTTGTAACAATGGATTGGGTTATTTCTAAAAGTTGGGGCTCTTTCAGGAAACATAGATTCAGGCTTAAGCCAGGGGTGGGCCAGAATCACGGTAAAGCTGTTCAAAACCATCAACTCCCTGGAATGGGGTTTGAGGTCTCCCTTATTTCTACACACACAGACAGGCAGAAAGTTGAGTCCTGAAGACAGAGGCTTGGCTGTGTGTGTGTGTGTATGCGCGTGCATGTGTGTGTGTGTCTTGAGGCTTACATGTACTAATGCAGAGGGAGAGGACAGTTTGATCACAATAAGGTCTGCCAAAGGACAGTCCTTTCTACCGGTCAGGTGAAGTAGGAGGAGGTCTGTAAAAATGCCTGCTGTTTTTCTCCAGCTGTGGGGTGGCAGGACAGAGCCTGCAGAAGAGTAAGCCACAGCTTTGTGCTGAGCAGAGGTCTGTGCTACACAGATGGCACTGGTAATAATCATAGCAACAGCAGGTAGCATTTTTATTAAGTGCCTGCCACAGGCTGAGTCTCTAGGTCACGCCCTTGGCATTCAAAGGTTGAAAATCAGCATCCTGGAATCCTGAAGGGTATGCATGGGTACTAGGCTTGCAGGAAATGAGCACAGCATAGGAAGAACAGTGGAACCAACCCTCAGCAAGAACATTTGGGAGAGGTGACACTACAGCAACTCAGGAGCTGCCCTAGCTGGTGTTTGTCACCTAAGCATAGAGTCGCCAGATCTTTTGAATTTTTTCAAGAAAAGCAAGGAAACTAGATTTTTTTCTAATCCATTTTATTGAGGCATAAGATTAAAATAAAGAAATTTTTAAAAGGATAAAATAATACTTATTAAATATGATTTATATACAATAAACTTCAAACAACCACAGTACAGCTCAACAAATAGGCACACCCAAGTAGCCACCACCACAATCAAAACAGAACAGCATAGAGCACTTGTCTCGCTCGCATGCACGAGGCCCTGGGATCTACATACATACACACGTGATTCTGTCACCCCTAAGAGGGTGCTAACATTTAATCTAAATGTACAGGAAACAAATATTTCTTAAATGCTGCACAAGCCAAACAAAATGTATCCCGAGCCATTCTTGTTGTCAGGGCTCCCAGTTAAGATGTCTGTGGCCAAGACAGGACAAAGGCCCTTTACAGAAACATCCCATGCCCGGGCCCCATTGAGGTCCTGGGCTGTGATCTGAGCTGCTAGTGACTGGGACCAGGAACCAGAACTCTTAGTAGGGTCAAGGCCCCTGAAGATGCTGGGGCCCAGCGAAAGGTGAGTGTGTAGGAATATGTGCTTGAGGGCTCCCAGTGGTCTGTTTCAGGCCTAAAATCCCAGGTCCAGGAGGCTGTGGTCCTGCACAGACTCAGATTTAAGGGAAAGCTGCTGGGAGCATCTTGGGCTGTGCCTGTCATCTGCACAGTGGGTTCATTTGACACTGAGCACTCTTGGCTTTGGGCAGGACAAAAATCACCAGCATGGTTGAGCACATCAGTTTGCAGGTGCAAGTGTGAAGTGCAGAGAGGGAACGGAGTTTGACCAAGTGGGGAGAATGGGTGAGGCGAGCTGGACAGTCTATGCTCCAGGCCTCACTGTGTCCTAGAAAAGGGTCACTTAGGGTCTGTCATGTGGTTGCCTGAGTCATCAGCATAATGCTTCTTCCCCACTAAGCAGGGCTTAGTTGGAGTTCAGGATCCAGGACCCTTGTTAAGGGCTGGCCTTGCCTATCACCAGCAATAAACAGAAGAGTTGGAAGGGATTTGAGTTCTGGATTTGAAACTAGGTCTTGCTTTATGACCTCAGGAAGGTCTTGATGTTCTTATCCCTAAATAATAATGAATAGTATTTACCTTCTAATGTTATTGGGATGAATGCCCAACAACCTAAGTACCTTTATCTATGTAGATGGTAGGTTTACAAAGGTTTATAACCTGAATGGTGTTGGTGATGTTGATTGTTTTTGTGGTTATTATTTTAGAACAAAGAGTCAGTGGAAGAGAAGGGAGCAAAACCAAAGCACTCACTCAGCACCAGGGCTATGCAAGCTGGCATCAGGGAGCCTTGGGAAGGTGAGTGGGCCCATCTGCTGTTTCTCCTGTAAAAACACAATAATATCACCCAAGGTGTGGCCAGTGGAAAATTGTTGAAACTGTTTTTTCCTTTTTTTGCAGTTCTCTTTGTCTTTTGTATGTTACAAATGTATATGGTCAACTGCAATATTTTGAAAGCACTTGGTGCTGGGCCACTTACTTATGATGCTAGAGTTTATGCCAGGTTTGCTGGAGCCAAAATTCGGCAGCAGTCTGGGCAACATAGTGAGGACTGTTTAAGAATAAAAAGGATGTAGTCAGGCATAGTAACACACACTTGTAGTCCTACCACTCAGGAGGCTGAGGTAGCAGGATCATGGTGAGTTTGAAGTCAGCCTGGACTACATAGTGAGACCCTATCTCAAAAAAAAAATTGATTAATTAAATTTAAAAAAAAAAAGTGAAATAACTTAGAATAGCTCCTTTCCTTGTAGGCCATGCCATCAACTTGATAATAAACTTTATTTAATTCAATTTTGCTTTACTTCCAGTGTAGAAATAGAAAGTGCATCTTACTGTCAGCATTCACTTAATTTTACATAAACATGGACTTTCTGGCTGAAGCAAGTCCAACTGGCATTTAATGTGAAAATAAGATATAAGAACTTTTTAAAGCCAGGCATTGTGGCCCACTTGTGTAATCCTAGAACTTGGGTAGCAGAAGCAGGATAGTTCCACAAGTTCAAGGCCAGCCTGTACTATACAGCAAGACAATGTCCCCTCCCCCAAAAAAGAGGAAAAAAAAGAAAGAAAGAAAGAAAGAAAGAAAGACATATGATGATGAGTCAGGGGTAAGATTACAAATGCGTAACTACCCCAAGAGTTATCTTGTGGTATGTATGTTATAGCCACAAGTATACCTAATGAATATCCGTTTTTTTGTTTGTTTGTTTGTTTGTTTTTGTCTTTTTCCTTTTTACTGGTACCAGGGATCGAACTCACGACTGCCTGCTTGCAAGGCAGGCGCTTATGCTGCTGAGCTAAACCTCCAGCCCCGAATATCCGTTTTTAATTTTTATTTTTCAGTACATGTTTGCAGTACTTGCCGTTTACCATCATCTGGGAGTGTGGGTACATATGCAAAGTACAATTTGTTTCTTTTTGTAGTCCATTTCCTCTTCCCCATCCCTTCTGTCCATCCTCCTTTAATCCCCATTTCTCCCTAGCAGATATTCTTGGGGCAAACAGGAAATGAGTTGTATGTTTGTGGACTGCCTTTTTAAAGTTTCACTTTCAGCCGGGCGTGGTTGTTCACACCTATAATCCCAGCATTCAGGGAGCTGAGGCAGGAAGATCTCTCTGACTGAGTTTGGGGCCAGTCTGGCTTACATAGCAGGATTCTGTATCAAAGAAACAACCAAACCAAACCAAACCAAAACAAAACAAAAATTTCAGTTTTCTTTTTAAATGTTCCATCCTTTTTACCTGATTCCACAGTCAGATTAACAAAACAGAGTACATTAGAAGTCCAACTTCTATCCTTATTTCCTGTACCATCTTCTTCCCCTATATACAATCTTTTAAAAACATTTGTCTTCCATTTATGTTAAGCTCCAGTCTGCATGGAGCACATGGTAAGTGGTTCTATGCGTGCATGTACACATACGTTCTCCCTTTTTTGGTAAACAGCTTCCCACACATTCTGTACTCCCATTCTCCACTTCACTAATTTTCACTTCTAGTATATTCTGAGATCACTCCACAGCTGCCTTTGGAGATAGTAATTTCTCATTCTACGGCTGTGCAGCATGCCATCATGTGGTTGCTCCCCCATTCAGACAACCTCCCAACAGACATTTGAGTTAATTTTAGCCTTTGGCTCAACGTGGGGCAATGAATGCCCGGGGCACTTATTTTACAGGGTCTTTGTCACAGACTCTTCCAAGTGTGAGTTGTTTTTACCTTGTCTGTTTTCCTGTAGAGAGCCAAATGCTGGATCTACCTGATGGGACAGCAGAAAGGCTGTTCCCCTCAGGGATGGGAGCGGACCTTCTTGCCCAGGCAGAGATCTCATCAGGGCAGGGAGATGGAGTCCCTGGCCCAGGCCAGGTGTCCCCTAGTGTCCTGCTGCTGCCCACAGAAGCCTGTGCCAAAGTTCCAGAAACATCCAGCAAGAAGCCCAGGAATGGTCTGGAATCGTCTGCAACACCTGACAGGGTTGGTGAGGCTCCTGCTGGCCAAGAGATGGCATCTCACACAAGACCAGAGACATCGTCTACCAAGCTGGATATTCAGCCTTTAGAAGAGGGCATGAGATTGACAGCAGAGCCCATCCCTCCATCTGTAGGGCCTCTGGGGCCAGTAAGCCTGGCCAGGACAGTTTGCAGTGGTAGAGAAATGTCTCGCAGGTAAGGCGAATACTTCCATGCTGGGGAAGGGAAAAGATTAACAGCTGCTCTCAGCTGCAGCATGGCCAGTGGGCCAGGGATATGTGTTGAATGACTACCATATGCATAAGTCTAGGCCAGCTTCTTGGAGGAAAATGCCATGAATGGGAGCTTAGAGAACTGTTTTGTACCTGCTAACCACTACAGTTACCTAGGGATATTTAAGAAACACTGATGCCCAGAGATCCTTGCTCAGTTCTCCTGGAGTGAGTCTTGATCATTTTATTTTGGCTTGTTTGTTATTTTGTTTTGTTTAGCAGCATTGGGGGGTCACGCCTTTGGACTCATGCATGCCAGGCAAATACTGTAACACTGAGCTATACCCCCAGTTCCATTTTAAAATTATTTTTAAAACACACTCTCCAGTTTAGCAGGGTTGAGAATCACCCACTCTTAAATTGATAATAACAGATAAGAGGTGGGCTCACAATCTCTCCCACAGGCCAGCAGTGGCCGAACATTTCACAGGCATTATCTCATTTAATCTCACAACGTGCTTGTCTAGCAAGTGGTCCCTGCTCCCTATTTTACTGAAGAGGAAATGAGCTCAGAGTGCTGTGACCACACACATGGGATTCAGATTGGGATCTGAGTCCAGATCTCTGGTCAGAGCTGGTTCCCCTAACTGCTGCAGTGGTTCCTTGGGCCAGCATTTAATTAAATCCTAAGTGACACAGGCACAGGGAAGAAGCACAAGCCAGGCGGGCTCTGTTCAGGGAAGCGCTTTCCGAAGGATTACACCTGAGGCTGTGGAGGTGAAGCCGTGCAGCTGGTGGTGTGCAGGAAACTGCTGACTCCCGGGTGCACCCTTATTCTGTAGCCATCAGCCCTGTGGGTGATTGCAAGGCTCACTGAGGGTACTGGGCCTTCCTGTTTTTTCTCAGAGGGATTTGGTGTCCCTGTGCCTGCCCTGGGATGCTCTGCACTTTGAGTGAGACACCATGTCCTGGCTTGGAGGCTGCTGGTGTCTGTGTTTGCTATGGTGATTGGCAAAGTGACCCAGACTGTCTGTCTGCTTTTGTTCTCACAGGAAACCTGGCAAAACTGAGGAAGGGGCTACAGGCAGCTATCCCTGGGGCCAGGCCAGGGCTCTAAATATGGAATCTGGGGCTGAGGGTGAACTTTCCATGAACTTGTTAGGGGCTCAAAATGATTCTGAGTGAGAGGAAAAGATCTCTAGCTCAGTTATACTCCCTGAGCTGCATTCCAGGCACAATAGATCTGTAGCAGGTGGAAGGAAATGAGGTCACTACCTGCCCTCTCTTCCTTAGTGTGTGAATATATTTTCAGGAAACTAGATTGTCAGTTTGGAGTCAGTTGTGATTGGTAGGGGCTGTCTGTTTAGATTGTGCTGAGGCCATATCTGAACTTGGTGACATTGATTGATTCCAGCCTTAAAAAGGAAACAAATTCTGATGAATAGTAAGCATGAGTAAACCTGGAGAGCAACATACAAAGTGAAATAAACCACTTATGAGAAGATAAATACTGTATGATTCCACTGAGATGAGGTAACTAGGGTGGTAAGAAAGCTTACTGTGGAGCAGTGCAATAGTAACAAAGCTTTGGACACTAAGAGTGGCACGTGTCTTAGTTACTTTTTCTCATTGCTGAGACAAAATACCTGACACTCAAAGTTAAAAAAGGAAAGCTTTATTTCAGTTCAGTTTGTAGAGGTTTCAGTTCATAGTTAGCTCAGTCCAAAGCACAGTGGATGGCAGAGGGGAAACAGTTCATGGCATAGCAGGGAGGCAGAAGGCAGCCAGCAATGAAACAGCAACTAGCAAGTGGCAAGCAGCAAGTGGTGGCAGCAGCCCTCTTTCTGTCCCTTGTATTCTATTTAGGCTTACCTGCCCAGGGAGGGCCTTCGCACTATCCATACCCAGAACTATGCCAAACCAATCAGTGGGCTAATTTAGTAATCACACACCCGTGACCCCAGCATCACACTCTTAAGCCTAGTCTCATACACTGTAGAACCAACCACCTCTCAAACCCTCACCTGTATGGGGCTGTGAGGAGACATCTAGATACCAGCCATAAAAAGCATGGAAGTGTATGGGTCACTGCATGTCCCAGGGAAGGGAAAGTCAAATAGGAGAGTATCAGTGCTGGCCTTCTCAACTGTCCAGCAACTACCTTGCCTGTGTCCCTCAGTCTTGGAAGAAGCCCAAGATAGATTTGGGGTGGCTTGATGTGGATACTCCCCTTTCCACAATGGTCCTGCAAGCTAGTAGTGGAAGATTTCTGCCCCCTGCTCAATGCTTTCTCAGAGGTCCAGCAGCTCAGAGACCTGAAGGAAAGCCTTTTAAACCTTTTAAATTGTAGTAAAAACACTTAACATAACAAGTCCTTGGAGTTGTATGTGAGGAAATCTTGTCCTTTTTTGTATTCCTCTAGGTTGTTCTTCAAGTATGAAATGTATTCGTTTAATCTTTTATTTTCCAGAAGCGAAAGATCTACTTTTTGGTCATGTAAATAGACTTCATCTTCTAAGTTCTTTGAATTTCAAAATGTTCTTTGATTTTCTAGCTTTCTAGATCTTGTGCTTGTTTTAATTCTTCCTTCACTCTCGCCTTTTTTTGCAGCGTATCTTGAAGTCTCTTGTGACATGAGAAATGTAACTATTCAGCAAAGTTTCCTCCTGTTTTTGTGCTGTGAGAATCACACAGAGCTCTTGTAGCCTTCTGTGTTTTTCCGTGTACTCTTCTTCTGTCGAATGAAGGTGTGGAAGAGTATCGTTAAACTCATCTTCCATTTATTTGCTAATTTTTGTTTCCTTAAAAATTAAATTCTCATTATGGTTGAGTCATGAATTAACTTTTTCCTTTATTATGAACTTTCTCTTCTTTCAGTTGTATTGTAAGTTTTTTTTTTATCTGTATGACAAATTCATTAATCTCCATTTTTTTTGAGTTTTGTCTTCCAATAACTCATTTTGTCTCTGTTCTGCGCTTTCAACTTAAACTGCAATTTCTTCTATTTCAGCCATTTTCTTGGCTAGCCATCATGCAAGCTGTTTTTCTTGAACAAGCTAGTTCTCACTGATTATATCTCTGATTTTCCAGATTGTCACTCAGTATTTTTGATTTTGATATATATCTTTTTTTGCTTTAATGAGTCATTCTTCCATATTTTTGATGCATCTGTCTTGGCACTGGAAGTTTTCTTTTTGTGCATTAAATGCCAGTTGTCTCTGGTTTTCATCATGGATCATCTGTTTCTGCAAAAACTTGACCCTCCTCACTTAGCACAATCCTATACTGTCAGAGAACAGCGATCACTTGCTCTTGTAGCTCTTTGTTCTCTAAATTAACTTTCTACAGCTTTTCAGCCAGCTGTTTATTTTATACAAGTGTTCATTTCTTTCATATTGTGATGAATCATCCAATTTTTCTTGTGGATTATAAAGAAATTTATTTTATTTCCTGGAATCTTACAAGCTTTTGATGCTTCTTCTACCTTTTCTTCCCACTCCTGGAAACTGATAGCTCAGCACACACAATATACATACAGCCAGAATTTAAGGCCACAGTTAAGGATTTGGTACACAATGACAAAAACATCTTGCATGAAATAAAAAATCTAATAGACAAGCTGTGCACAAAGGATGAAAAAATCAAGTGCATCAGTATTTGGCTACAAGGAAATATTGAAGACTTGTACAGTCTTTCACAAGCAGAATCACCAATAGACCTCTGAAAGAAAAAAATCAGGCATACCATGAAGAGTCCACTTCTTACAAAATAAAAATGAATTTATGAAGAATAACAAAATAACTCAAAGGTACAATGGCTATGAATTCAAAAGGCATAAACAAAATTCATAAAAAAGAACAATAATCAGGACATGTCTTCAACCAAACTATAAACAGAAAACCTATTCTATAAAGTATGTTCTATGTTTGCAATATTATCAAAATACTACTTTTGTGAAAATAAATAGGTAACAAAAACATTTTAAAACCCACATTTAAAACATAGAATTTAGAATCTTAATTTTTAGGGGAGCAGCCAAGGAGAGAACCCAGGTCTTCCTATGTGGAAGACAAGTGCTGTACTACAAACTATGCCCCAGTGCATCTTACCCACTTAAGTATATGGTTCAGTAGTGCCATGTGTGTTCACACTGCTGAGAAACAGACCTACAGAAATTTTTCATCTTACTAACTGGAACTCTGCACCCATTAGAAAATGACTCCCCATTTCCCATTCCCATCTCTGTTAGGTAACAGGTATGAGAAATGGGGAGTGTTCTGGTAAGCACCATTCTACTTTCTATCTTTGTAAGTTTAACTACTCAAGTTATGTCTTCTCAGAGGGATCATACAGTATTTATCTTCGTGTGCCAGTTTATTTCAACTAGTAGTTGTTGTTAATGTTCTTTCATGTCATACAATTTGTCAAAAAATTTTTAAGATTAAATAATATTCAACTGTATGCACATACCACACTCACTTGCCCCTCAGTGGACATTTGGGTTGCTCCCATTTTGTGTTTATTGTGCATAAATCTATGAGGGTGACTATATAAATATCTCTCAGGCTTCTGCTTTCAGTGCTTTGGGATACATATCCAGAAATGGAATTCCTGGGAAGTAGTCTGTGCCACTTTGTTTTTTTAATTCTAAAGAGGAAAAAAAAAAAAAAAACCACAGAAAAGAAAAAAAAGAGAGACAAACAAGAACAACAAAAATCCTGAAATAATGACATATAGGCTTTCAAAACAAGATGACAGGAATTTAATTATGGTTGTTATATTGCATATAGATATCTTCAAAAAAGTTGCTTAGATTACCAGATATGGATATGCAAAAATGATCAAGTCATATGAGTATTAGCTGTTCTTTTCCAAGAACTAATACAATTAGTAGTATAATCATCTTATCTATGTTTATGTTCATTTATGTTAGTGGCCCCCAAGCCTCGTGCAGTTATGGATGCAACCAAATGTAGCATTTAT